AAAAAAAAGAAAACGACAAATTTAATCATTTCAAAGAATTTGGTTAAAGAGATCTATTAGCGAGTGATATTATTATTTTGCCAATAAGATAAACCATATATCTACATGTAAGTATATAGAACCAGTAACAGTAATTAATAGTTGCTGAATTACCGTAATCAAAGGCTATATTAATCATTAGTAACACCCATAAATTACAGTGCACTACATAGTTAGCAATTCCTTATCTCCACGTTCAAGACCATTCAATTCGTAATAATCTTTGTTGTTTGAACGAATTGTATATTAAAAATGAATTGTTACCTATTATCCGCTTCGTTCGATGCTTTACTGGCTAACACAAATTCGAGATCCAATTTAAAGTAGCATTCGAGCATGCACCATGGAACATTAACGCACGCGTTAACAGGAGGCAACATGACGAACTGGTCCCCGTTAATTTCATTCGCACTTTCATTGCAATTTCGAATTGCACTCGAACTCGTACCTATCATCTCCTCAAATGCTTCACGTCTGCACCGTATAATATGGTATTTTGATGATACCACGTTACTTCCGATCCAATTCAACCGTCCGTCCGCCAGTTCGTTCTCCAACCAACCGTTAACCGTTACCCATTCAAAATACAAATACGCAACGACATCTGTGGGCCCGCGCTGTCCCTTTATCTATGTACCTCATTTTCTAAATATTTGCCAATCTCTTACGGCTCGTACAAATAAATATACGTCAATCGGTAGTAACATCGTGATCCACGGCAATTCATCACTGTCGCCGCAAGAAATTGAATTGTTAACGGCACCGGTGTCACGCAGCGTTAGAAGCAGAAGCAAAATTAAAAGTTTCCTACGCAGAGTTCTCCGACTTTGCCGCGAGTAAATTCCGAACGATAGAGATTTCAACGGTCGTATCGTTCGCGCGTAAATATTGTGATCGACGCTCACCGAGTTCCTTCAGCGTTTATAGTTCGTGAACGTCAGTGGCCGTCGTGGTTTTCGGAATTCAATTGAAGAAACGATGGAGGAAAAACCAACAATGTTGCTGGAACGGTTCTCGACGGTGCGCACGCACTGGTGGCCGGCGATATACAATCGGTGGAACGGTCGTGTAGAACAGGTGGCGCTAGTGCAGGAGCCTACGTCTGAAAATCGCGGAGAGTCAGTTAGTCGGTCTCGCGCCTCACGCGTGTGCGTGATACGTTTACTTGTGGTTCGTTTATCGTGTTCAGACGTGTTCCGCGTTCGCCGTGTACGTCCGCGAAAACGAATTGACAACGTTCACCGTGACGAGAAATTTCATTGCATCCGATCCGCCGAGCCGGTGAATACGATCTGCATCCGCAACGGGACGTCGCCGGTCCATGACAATGCCGGAAACTTAAAGGACGCTCCGAGGCGTCTGCTGCAAGACGATGCAGAAATGGTAAGTGGAATTTCATTAAAACTTGCATGGTACAATATTAACGATATTAGACGATCGTTGAACCATTTTACTCTTTAGTTGCTGAACGTGACATTACGCGAAGTCGTCGCGTTCCCTCGTGAAAAGTTTGTTAACGTTCCGGAGCAATGTCAGTTTTCACTGAATTCTTTTTGGTAATCGAGGCAATGAAAGTGTAACTTGACTAGAGTGATTCTTATGTGTCCATTAGGTTCATGGGTGAACGTTTACAGAGGGATTATTTTTAAACCGATGTGTACTTGCGTGGAAAATGTCCATCCCCAAGGACTCGATAAAAGTCGATATATTGGATCGATAGAGAGCTTTACGAGCGATTCAAAATCGTCGATTATTTTGTGACGGTGTACACGCGGGAATGTTCGAAACGGCATGGTTAAGAATTAATTAATAAAAGTTCGTTGGAACGGAATACGATCGTCTATATTGAATCTTGATGTTCACTGTATCCGATGCAACACATAACCCTGTATGCTTCCTCAAATTGTCTTTTCTGACAAGAAAGAAACTTTTTTACGAATAATAAAAATAGACTACGATTATAAAGAAAATACAATATTCTAATATAAACTTAACAAAGCTAGTTGTTATAATAAGAATAGTTTACTAATTAACGTCACAAAACAGATTAACAAAACCATTTCCTATTCATTCATTTACGAACGAATTTTTGAATCACACACTTCCCTAATTACACGATTGTAGGTCCGGTAATTAAAAAAACCCATTTCGTTTCACTGGACGGCGAGTGGGTTGAAAAGTCCGTTTACGGGCTTTCGAGCGCCTTTGCGGAAAAAGTTCCGTATGTGCGGCCTCTCCGAGCTTGCGATTCGAAAGCCGAGTCGGACGTTTGACAAATTGATGCTTCTGTCTCCAGCAATTCGTTTCTTGCGCGTCTCAACGCGTATCGGGGTCGCACGGTTCGACGTCTATCGCTTATCCTTTGGTCCGCGATCCTTCTGACCTTCGACCTTCGGCCAGGCGGATACGTGTCTGATTGTCGATGTGCAAGTGGCCGATGGTGTCGGACGCGCGACGACTTGCGGGCACGATGCCCTCGTTTTCCTGTGAAAGACAGGACTCCGCGGTTTAGGATGCATTATCGCCGGCAAAAGTACCAGTATCCTCTAACCTTGCGCGCGCGCGAGCGCTTCCGTTTCGAGGTAATTTAGTTTAAAACTAGATCCTGCTGCATCTTCCTCCGGGGAATTTTTAACGCCACGGTGAGAAAACTTTGCTCGCCCGGTTCATTCCCTTCGAACACCTCCGGGTTTAATTGTAACGCGTCCCTGGATAATTTAGACAGAGGTCGGGAGATGCTTTGCGGTTGCAATCGTGAGACGAGACGCCATGTTGGAAATGGGATCACTGGCGAAATAAAGCCGTGTTATTGTTGCAAAGTTGTTATTGCACTGTGTATGTCAATTTCGTAATGGGGGATATAATAATATAATGTTGACAGTATATTTTAGTTCAGGTGATTTTTGATTGTTTATACAACTTGAGCAGTGATCTTGATTTTTTGTTCTGAGATGTTTATTTTAGATTTTACTCTTCCAAAATTATTAACGATGTGTACACGGAATTTCAGTCTGTTAATGTAGCAGCATTGTTTCAACGATTTATGCGTTGCACTGTTAAATGAACAAAGTTGTCAATGGAAGCACGTGGAAACGCAGCGTATGGTGTCACGTCGACAGTGGCGTAAACATTGACCTTTGGCGAAGAGCAGCGGTTTTCTAGGTATGATGCGGTCCTCCAAGGTGAATCGATCTCGCGCGCCGCACCGAAATTTAAATTTAAACGTCGGTCCGTGCGGCAACCGAATTTCTCGTCCGGTTTGTGCAACCGGAAAGCTCGTCGATGCGCAATCCGTCGAACAAAACTGCTTCGCGACATCATCACGAACCACGTCGCACGTTTATCCGCGAGCGATCCCATTTCTCCGGCGAAAATTTCCGCGAAATTCCCCCGTTGCTGTGCGGTTTAGAAATTTCTGAAAATTCAAGTAACGCGTCTGAAGTGTTTAAAAGTTTCGAGAACGGTCGAGTGTCTCTCGGAAGAAAGTTGTCGGCCGCCGGGGATGCTTCGAGAGCCGTGTAAATTGTGTCGCGTGCGACGCGGGATTACGTCGACGATCGAACTGAATATTTATCTAAAGCAGTGTGCACCGTCGAAACTGGTATCAGTTTGATGATTCAGGAACCGCGTCGACGCCCTTGGTGTTTTCTTCCCGAGCGAGAAACTGTTAATCCGACGTTGGCATTATTTCAAGTGCGACTTCTCTGCTTTCCGCTTGTAAATAACTGCAGTCAACGTTTCCGTTGTCGTCAATTAATAATATCCATTGTCTCAGTCAGAATTCCGTGGAGAGAAAAGAAATTCTTTCCCCGAGTCGTCCCGGTGACACGTTTCAGGGATCAAAGAGAATTTTTGAGAGTAAGGGTTGAAGTCGCGCAAGAAACGGTCGTCGTATGACTAACGATTTCTTCCGAAGAAAAAAATTAATGTAAGAACAGTCCCGCGGAACGTCTTAAGCACGTTTCAACAGGTTGTTGATTCGCTCGACTATTTTTCTTCCCCTCGAATCATCGAAAACGAATACGCAACGACTCCCCACCAACCCCCTCGCGCGATTATTGTTTCTATTCTGAAATGGCCGCGGCTGTACCGGCTGCGTTACCGGGAACAGGAATAAATGTGCCGCGCGAAAGCAGCGCGATACAACCGCGAGAGTAATTTTAGCCGCTTTACGACTGTTTTGTGATAAAACAAAATTCGCGGGAAACGAAGTTGACGACTGGCAACGGGTAGTGCATCCGTTAGTACGTTCGGTTGTTTCCACTAAATTGTTCCGTCTTGTGAACAAGTTACATTCGATGGTCACCTTGAGTCTACCGTGATTTATGTCGTTCAATGGTGAAACTTAATGTTGGTAATAAACTCGAAAATAAAACTGTCCATGGGACGGACTAATTCAATCTGTAACGGTAGAAATCGAGTAACGAGATGAATAGATATTTTTACTTCTTTCTTCTTGTTTCTTTCGTTAATGACCTCGTTGAAGGATCGCAGTGCAGTCTCTGTTTAATGAAACGACTAATCGAAAGCTCGACAACTGCAATAACTTCGGCCGCGAAGATCAAAGACTTAAGGAAGCGCGTAAAAGTGATGCGAAAGTCGCATAAAGATTTTATACACTTTTTCAGCGCTTCTAATCCTTTGAGCCGTCCGCAACACCGCTGCCCCTCAAAGTAATGCTTAAATATATCTCCGGACTTATTTACGTATACACGTTTCGCCTTTCCCGTCTCGTAAATTCCGGAGGCATGCCCGAGCCGTGATACTTTTGATTTATATCTTTCATCGTCGGATAGAATTTCTTTATTCGCGCAAAGCTTTAAACATTGGGAGGATGGCCGCGGTTAATATTTCCGGCGGATGCTGGAGAGGCCGCGCGGATTGCGATATTCAAATCCGGGAAATTGAATTATCTAATACTAAATTATTCATACCTCCATCTGTTTTATTTCCATATCAAAGCGGCAACTGAGCTCCCTCACATATTTCTGTGGCGTTGCGACGCGTTATTACGTCGCTCCATAAATTTCCGACAATTTCTACGCCGGCACTTGAATCGGTCCTTCGATCATACTTTCCGGTTACGCGCAGGACTCCGATCGCTAAATCGTGGATTTTATGCATTTATCGTGAGCTCCACTGCAGAACGTAATATATTAATGATTTTAGTACAATTTCATCAAATTTCCATTTTATCTACCGTAATAAAATCTTTAATGTAAAAAGCACAGGAGGATCACTTTTACAAATATTTACAAATAATAATAACAAAAAACAATCTATATTCCGTTCCTGAAACTATTAAGCTTCCGTTGTAAACTTCCTCGAGTCTCCGTTAAAATATTCCAGAACGTATTATAGTTCCACTCAATATCTAAATTTTTCATCTTCTAAAGTGTCTTGCAAACCAGAATGCACTCCGGAATAAGAAGTAAAAGTGCAAACAATAATTTTCAAGTGCAAACCTTGCAACCCGGACTTACTTAACCATCTAACAATTTCTTTAATTTTTCTCGCAAGAGCCTCGGCATATTTTCCAAGCGGGCAGGTGTGCAAGCGTGCGGGAGTCTGAAAACGGGGTTTAACCTAAAATCTTGAACCAATTATTTTTTATGCGCCCCATCAACGGTGGTTACTGAACCCCTGGGGCTGAGGGTAGTGGAATATTTCCTGTTCGGGTCATAAAGAACTTTTTCAACGTCACCCTCCCTCTCTAGCCCTGTCTCTTTCCCTCTCTCCGCTGTAACACTTTTTCTCCTTTTTCATCCCATCCCGTCATCCCCCTCGCCAAGGTCAAGGGACGGTGGCTGCGTTGCTATAGCGACGCACAACTTCTGGTTGATATGTCGTCCATTTTTATTCGTTTTCCGCGTTGCTAATCGCGCCCCTCTTTTCACGCGTTCGCGGAATCCCGTAATCGGGGACCACCCTGTACACGGACCCTGCATAATTTCCGGGGCAGACCTCAAGCGTGTCCCTAGCGATCCTCCCGCGGTATGTTTGAACATCCCGCTGACTAACATCAATCTCGTGTTTGTCTTGTTGTTCAGCAGGCGAGATGATGTTTGTGTTAAATTCATGAGTTGCGTTACCTCGTCGAATTACCGCCGCTTGTTTATCTAGCACCGGTGTCTTTTGACCGGGGAAGTAATTATTCAAGTGGGTGTTTAACCCTCGATCGTTTGCACGCGACGTCTAAGACACCGAAACATTGTTGAAATTAATTATTATACAATTATGTTCATTACAAATAAAATTTTATGATTTCTTTAATACACGTTACTGATCTTGTATAAAGTATCGGAAATGAAATCTGCTAGGGAGAAAGATTGGAGTAGATTGGAATTTAGATAAGTAGTTAAGGATTAACGTCACGTTTTTGT